TCACACACAGGTGGGGGCAGAGCCACACCATCGCAGACGCCTCCCTCACAGGGAGCAGGGACCAGAGGAGCTGGGCTGTGTGTGCAGGGAAAAGCCATTTGGAGTGGTCCCTGGTGTCACCTCAGCATGCAGGCACAGGACCCCCTCCCCCACTCCCTGCAGTCCCGTGACTCTTCTGACCAAGGTTAGGTGACAAGAGTTCTCCACTTGCACAAACTTGCAAGCACAGTGAAAAGGGCCTGCGGGGTCACAGGCATTGACAGTCTGGCTGTGACTCTGGTGACATCGGATCTCCTGCTGCCCCTGCCGCCCCCTGCAGGCAGCCTCTGGAGCAGGCTGACCTCCTCCCTCCTGGCACAGGTACTCCTGCTCCATAACCTCAGGTGGCTCATGCTGTTCTTGTCCTCAGATGCCACAGGGAGGGTAGGTCCAGAAGGGAGAGGCTCTCTCACTGGTCCTGCTGTGGTGGCTTCTATTCATGGGGCCTGGCAAGGGTGGGGCCGATGTCCTGAGTTCCTTGGACCCCCAGGACCACAGAACTGGACCCCATGTTGAGGTCATGCACCTCCCCAGGGGCTGTGTCCCCACCCTCTGGCTCTCCAGATTCCCTGTGCAGGTTGTCACTTGTGTCTCCTGAAGGTACAGGGCCACATCACCCAGAGGAGGGGCACAAGGTGGGAGAGTAGGAAGGGGAGGAGGGAGGAGCTGTACTTTGGGAAACGCCTGGGCAGACCAGGTCCCTGTCCTCTGACTACCTCCGGGGCTCGCATCAGTCTCCTTCTTATTCCTAGCAGGCAGCAGCCCCTTGTGGCCCCTTCAGATTTCCTTGACTTTCAGGGGACCCAAGGTGTCATGTTCTCCTGGTCCTTGGGAAGGTGGGGACTCAGCAACAGGACTTCACTTCTGTGTGCCCTGATACGCCCCCAGCCCCGGGGAAGCTGCCACCCTCTTCTCTGGCCCCCCGTGTCCTGATCTACCGTCTCCGCGGGCACTGAGCCACGCCAGGCCCAAGCACCGTGTGTGTTGAGGCTCAGCTCCTGGTCCAGTGTCTCCAGGTGGAGCACACAGGGCTCCACACCACACACTCAGCTGCTGAAGTGGGGCCTGAGTCCCTTGGGGGTGCTGGGGTGACCAGCTCGTCCTGCCGTGGCCCTCGGTCCCCTGCCCACCCACCCATCCATCTCCCCATACAGCTGGGGCCCCAGGGTTGGGAGCCCTGCCGTAGCCCCGCACACACGCACACGCATGATTGTGCCCAGTCGCAGACTCACGCCTAGCCCTACAAGCGCACATGGGCAGACTCAGGGGTACAGAGGTCGGTGTCTGGCTCCCCGCGGCTGCGCTTCAGGAGGAGCGAGCTTTCGAGAAACATGGGCCAGGGCATAGCAGGGACAGGGACAGCAGCGCAGGGAGCCAGGCATGGCCCCAGGGCGCTGGTGACTCAGTCCAGGACACCAGGAGAGCACGCCTGAGGCAGGAGCAGAGCAGCGCCTCCTCTGGAGGCTGGCTGGGTGGCCACACACTGGCCAGCGCCTTGTCCTAGGAGGAACTTGGTGGCCAGGAGGCTGAGCCTGCCTCGGGGTCTGGGTGGCCGTGGGTCTCAGTGTGTGATGCGGGCATGCTATCCCACCTCGCCCCCTTGGCTCCTCTGGGAAATGGGGTGACACTGGGATTTCTACACCCTCAGGCCCCCAGCACCCCCTGTACCTCTCCTGCTTACTCCTGAACTGGACTTCCGGGTCATGTGGGATAGGGCACTCCATGCAGCTGGCCGGGGAGGCGCTGGAGGACAAACTGGGCTGTGTATCCCTTGGAGGCCTGAGCTAAACCCCTACCCAGGGCAGGTAGGGCCCAGCGCCCGGAGGCTGCAGCAGGATGTGGACATGGTCCAGCAGCTAAACAGAGAGGTGGCAAGAGACATGAGGGTGCAGGCTGGAGCACCCAGCCACCTAGGCATCCCTGGGTACCGGATATGACCCCGCTGGCCGGCCGGCGTCAGCAGCCACACCAGCAGTTGGTCAGCCTTTGCGGGTCAGGGGACACTTTCAGTGGCCCCGTTCTCCTCTCAGTTTGCCCTACACAGAGCCCTGGGGAAAATGTCAAAATCCCGTCAAAAACACCACAGGGCTGGGGAGATAGCTCAGTGGTCTAAGGGCCTGCCTGGCAAGCGCAAGGACCTGGGTTTGATCCCCAGTACCACGTGCTATGCTGGCCCCAGAAGCAGGTGTGGTGGCACAGGCCTGCACTCCCAGCGCTGGGGAGGCTGAGACTGGAGGATCACTAGCGTCTGAGGTGTGTAGCAAGACTCTGTACCAAAGAAAGAAAGAAAGAGATATTAAAAAAAAAATAAATAAAAACGACCACCACAGCTGTGGCAATGAAGGAAGAATCTCTAGAGCCTGCCTAAATTCGCCTAAACCTCAAATCAAACCCTCTCGGCACAACCCACTTTCCCCACTGCAAAGCAGGACGGATTCATGGGCTCAGGGAAGTGTGCCCGCGGCTCCAGCCACCAGGAGGCTGAAGCAGGAGGGACGCTGCGAGCTGGAGGCCAGTCTGGGCTGCACAGGGGGTTCAAGGCCACCTGGAAGTACACATGGAGACCCTGTCCAGTACACAAAGTGGGGAGACCCCTAACTCACCCCACGCTGACAAAAGGAACTCGGGGCTGAGTGAGGCGCAGGGTAGGGGCCAGAAAATGTACCATGGCAAAAAGAACATTTTGGAAGCGGGCACCTAAGAGGAGAAGCACGTGCAGGCCAAATAGAGGTCGGCAGGGGAAAGCCAGCAAGCACTGAAGCCGCCTGTCCCCTCTGTCTTCCCAGCAGCGAGGGAGGCTGCAGGGCAGTACAGAGCAGGGCAAGGCGCCGTGGTGCCCGTGATGTCAGCGCCTGTGTGTGGAATACATTATGGCCAGCACGGCTGCGGCTGCGGCTGCCACAGACAGGCTGGGAAGATCCACAGCCCTGGTCCCCAGGGACAGACTCCGGCCCCAACTCGTCAGCTGTGGAGCAGCCTGCAGCAGCAGACCCGCGTCTCCTCTGAGTCTGTTTTTTTTTTTTTTTTTTTTTTTCTATCTCGTTCTTTGAGACAGGGTCTCACTATGTAGTCCAGGCTGGCCTTGATCCCACTATGTGACCCGAGTTGGCCTCACACGCTCAGCAATCCCCCTGCCTCAGCCCCCCCCAAAGCGGAGGTTACTGGTGTGTCCTTCTCTGCACACTGAGGCCCTCGGAGCTCCATGGGGAAGTGATGAGGCCCAGGGCTGGGCCTGGCATGCAGCTGGCCCTCAGCACACGTGGCTGTCATGACCGTCACAGTCACCACACACCAACTGGTTACTGTCGTGGATGATCTTCAACCCTGAGCTGAGGGCCCGGGGAGGCAGCATTCCTACGGCCCTAACCTTAGGCTGGGCTCAGCAGACAGGAGCCCGTCAGAGGCAGGCGGGGAGGAGCAGGTGACAGGCTCAGCAGCCTCTCGTGGCCAGGCTGACCCAGCTCCTTGGCACAGCTGTGGCAGGGTGGGGAGGAGGTTGGAGGAGGGGTTGGGGCACACAGCTCAGAACTGGCATGGAAAGAACCCAGGTCCATGTCCTCCAGGAAGCAGGACCCAGAGGGATGGGACGGTGGCTGGGACCCTAGGATCCCTACCATCTAGGTGTCCTGAGCTGAGCTCCTCAGGTGTGTGACGGGCTGGCATGTTGGCGGCTGATGCCCACCGCACAGCCCCTAGATCCCCAGGGTCTTCGGTCCTTCACTGCCCACACCCCAGCGTCCTGCAGGAAGCATCCTTTGTCCAGGCGGGGCCTGAGCGTAAGATGACACAGCATGGAAGGGGCATGGTTCTGCCCGACAGTGCCCACCCGCAGGGACGCAGGGTCATCCCTGTCCTGGGGGCTCTACCCATGTGAGCCCCTCCTATCCCAGGGCCTCCCTGGGCGACATGAGCATCCACTGACATGAGGCCCCATTCCCAGTGACGCCACGAGTGTGGAGTTAAAACCCCCACTTTCCAGATGCTGCTGACAGGAGGAAGTCACCCCTCTGATCCCCGGGGAGCTGGAGCCCCTGTGACACGGTGGGGTGGGGCTTCCTGGAGTGTGGGGGAGGGCTGCTGGTGAGGTGGTCTGTCTTGTGTCTGTGGACATGCATGTGCTGTGTGTGCACACGGGTACAGGCATGGGTGCGAGGTCCACACTTACCAGAGCCCTGGTGCCAACAGGGCGGTGACTGGGTCTAAGGGGTAGTGTGAACTGTGTCCACCGAGGATGCATGGGGTGTGGGTGATGGCAGGAAAGAACAGACAAGAGGATGGGTAAGCCTTAGTCCATGGGCTAGAGGACCCCAGAGGGCAGCCAGGCATGGGGCTCTGTCCTCTGCAGGAGGAGGAAGTGGCATGCCTGGTCCTGGCTGCCCCCATTCCCCTGTGCACCCAGTGGCTTCCTGAAAGACCCCAAATCTGGGGTCATCAGCTGTGTTGGCTGGGCCAGCAGACACTGGGCTTTCCCGGGCATCCCCAGCCAACAGCACCAACTCCGTGGGCACCACTAGCAACTGGTACATGACCAGGCACCCACAGGGTCCATATGTGCCCTGTGGTCCAATGGCTTCTTGAAGCGCTATCAAGGTGTGCTTGTACACCTTGTGTGCATCCTGGATTCCCGCCAGGCACTTTTCTCCTGGCAGCTCCACATGAAGACGACTCAGGAAATGAGCTCTAGAGTTGGCAAACTTGCCCTTTTCCCTTTGGCCACTAGGAAGCTCAGGGGCAACTGGGTGCTCAGGATAGCACGAACTTGAGGGCAGTCAATCTGCAGTCCTACTAGCCAGACTGACAGAACAGAGCCGAGGAACGTGAAGCTGAGAGTGCTGTTGGCCCTTATCGATGACCAGGAGGCATCTCCAGGCAGCAAACCCAGGAGCAGCTCAGCTCTTGTCTATTTCACCAACGCCTACGCTTCCTGTGAAGGTTTCTGTTTTCATATCTGCACTTCCTTTGTGGAACAGGGCTTTTCTCTCTAAGGTGACAGTCCATGGCCACATCCTACCAGGGCCTGAGGATCTAAAGCGGTTCAGGAATTGAGTTGGATGGCTGCAACAAACGCAGACTCCTCAGCCCGCTGCGGTGGCACTCTCGGCTGACACAGGAGGGTCACTGAGTTTGGGGCAAGCCTGAACTAGCAAGACTGTCTCAGAAACCCAAAACAAGAAAGAAAAAGGAGTATTTCTTGTCCCCACCCCTGATCTGCTGCTCCAGCATCCTGGAACTCTGGCACCTGTGGTGTCACAAGTGCTCAGAGGGCACCAGGGACACAGGTCTGGGAGAGCGTGGTGTCCCTGATAACCAGCTTTCTAGAGCAAGGCGGCAGCGCCCCCTGGTGGACCATGCTGAAACTCCTGCGTGGGGCACCACGTGTTGAAAGCCAGAGTCGCTCCCTTACTAGGTCAGCCCGGGGTACCTACAGACACCGTATCAATTCCCCCAAATACAGTTTCGCATTCCATCTCAAAGGGGCCCTGGATTCTGCCCACGTGACTCCATGCCTTTAGTATGAGGAGGGCTCCTTCCCGCGATTCTTATCAAAGCTGGATGCTCTAGAAAGATGCAGCCAAGCCTGCTGGGAGAAGGCGCCCTGGATGCGAGGCGGCAGGGAGCCCCCACTTTTCCTAGCTGCAAGTCCTCCCCATCCCTAGAAGCAATGGCCCCACCATTTCCGGCAGAATTGTTACAAACCCACTTTAATAGTCCTGGAACCTGCAGTTTGTTTTTACAGAACTGAACACACAGAGCCCAGCTGTCCCCATGAGGCGCAGGCTCAGTCCCTGCTGCTGGGGGAGCGGGAGGCAAGGGTCAGGGGACAGCTGCCAGCAGGGCTGGCCCAGATCCTCGACTTCTGTAGGATGCAGGGCCAGTCTGTCTGTGCCATGCCCCGAAGGGCTCCTGTGTCTGCAACAGGCAGACCCTGTGCCACCCAAGGGCACTCAGCGTGGTCCAGACGGGCTGAGCTGCCGCCCACGCTGTCCTGCCGCCTTCCATGAAAACTCGAGAAACCAGATGTGAGTGTCACAGTGGAAGGAAGGAGACCCACCCCATGGGCAGCCCCGGTGGCACCAGACCTCATGTGGCCCTCACCCATTGGGTGCGTTTGCCCTGCAAGCTTCGCAGGGCAGTGCGGGTCTGGCCCCTGTAGCCGCTAAGAGTCCCCTGGCCAAGGGGCAGCGAGCAGAGGGGCCACTGGGTCACTGGGGCTCAATATCAGTGGCAAAAAGGCATAGAGAGAGGTGCCCGCCCCAGGAAGCCCCCGCCCCAGGAAGCCCCCACTTCCAGCCAGCACAGTGAGGGGAAGGGGCGGGGAGGAGCCAGGGAGCCTCTGGGAGGCATCAGGTAGGAGATAGGGCAGGGAGGGGAACAGCGCCCCTCAGTACTTGGGGACCTTGCTGTAGTCTTCGGAGCGGATGTGCCGACACAGGCAGATGGACAGGAGCATGCCCAGGAGCTGCAGGGGACAGGGGCGTCAGGGAGGTGGCTCATCCAGGCCCAGGGTCCCCTCTTGCTATCCACATCAAGCAACATGGGCCCTAGGGTCATCCTGGAAGACAGGCTGCAGAGGCCCAGGAGGGACACAGCCAGATAGGATTCGGCAAGAACCGATGCCCCACCTCCGCCCTGCGGCCACGCCCACCCAGGGCCCAGCGGAGAGGGCAGGGGACAGACCTCCACGGCAGCGACGCCCACGCACACGCCCAGGATGATGCCCAGATTCTCCTGCAGCCACATCTGCACCTTCTCCCGGCAGCCCTGCAGGGACACACGGCTGGTCAGCCCCCACCCGGACGTGCGGGGACCCCAGGACAGCCTCAGGCGGGGCGCTCACCTCCTTGTACACCGGCCACTTCTCGGGGTTGTTGTTCACCTGGGTGGAGTTCGGGAGGCTGCAGAAGCCCTTTATATTGGAGAAACTGACCTCCTTGTCGCTCTCGTTCTTACAGGAGCAGGGGTAGACGATCTCACTCTCATTCATGAGAGCCGCGTTGTCCGTCCAGTTGTGGAAGCTGACCCAGCCGCAGCACCTCACCTGGCAGGAGGCACGGGTGGTGTCCCTCGGTCACTGGAGGCCATGTTTCTCTTCCCACCCAGGGCTCGGAAGGGCCAGGGCCAGGACCCCGGGGGGAGGGGGCGGCAGCCTATCTGCCAGACTTGGAGGAAGCGGCTTTCAGGCTGGGCCAGGTGGCACTGGCTGGTCATCCCAGCGCTCAGGAGGCCGAGGCAGGAGGAGCACGGCAAACGGGAGGCTGACTTGGGCTACATGGTGCGTTTGAGGCCAGCTTGGACTAGGTAATGTGATTCTGAACCCAGAAGCAAACAAACAAACAAAAAGTTTCCTTCCCTACAAAAGGGGACACAAAGTGCGGCTGAGGTGGGCTCGGGCCTGCCACGCCCCGCGGGAAGGAACTCAGCAAGCCCACCCTGCCGTAAGATGCCGGGCCTGCGCACGGTTGAAATTGGGCTCTGAGCTTCCAAGTCACAAAGTGAAGACAGTCACTTCTGCTGCTTTGAAGGAGAAATCGGTACCCTCCGTGGGGAAGGAGGGCTTGGTCACAGCCACAGCTCTGGCGCTAGGGTTGCCATCCGCGGGAGTGGGGGGTGGAGGGCTGGTTCCCCCGCTGCTTTTCAGCCAGCAGGGGGCGCCAGACGCCAGCATTTCTTTTTTGCTTTGGAGCCGGTCTCACTGTCTGGCCCAGGAGGCTGGGCTGGAAGAACTCACCCCATCCTCCCGCCTCAGCTCTAAGTGCTGGGCTTAGAGGTGCGCACCACCACGCACGGTTCAGGTAGCAGGTTTCCGCTTCCTTATTCCAGCTGCCGGGCTGACTCCTCCCTGGCCTAAAGCCTGGTCCCTCCAGGGGTGAGGGCATCCCCCGCCTGTCCTGTGTCAAAGCCACAGGAGCACCCTCCTGGGCCCTGCGAGACACCCACTCACTTGTGCCTGCACGTAGTCCCAGGCTTCCTGCAGGCTGTCCTCGCTGCTGGCGTTGTAGTTCCGGATGAGCTTCGACACCACGGTGCCCATCTCCTCCTTCAGCTGTGGATGGGGGCATAGGCGCGGTGAGTCACCTTGCCTGGCTTGGCCAAGTCGCTGCAGGAGGCCCCCAGGGGGCTCCTGCCACTCTCAGGAAAAATGACCAGCCCTCTGTCTCCTGCCTTCCTTTCTGTGCTCTTTGACAAGAGCCCGCAGAGACGAGCATGGTTCTCGCCTCCGCTTCCTTCAGGGCTCTGCTAGATGCCACCTTCCTGGCCACACTTCCGGTGCACGCCCAGCCTGAGGTGCCACAGGTAAGCAGCCTGGTTGTCTTCTCCTGCAGGGGGACACTCATGGGCCACTGCTGGGCCCCCACTGCTCAGAGGACTAAGAACTGGCAGAAGAACCCGGCTGGGAGACTACATCAGAGCCCTGGGACTGGCGACAGAGCCTCGACCCTGTCCCAGCTGCTCCACCCCACCTTGGTCGGGAGTTGAGCTCCCTAGTGGTCGCAGTGAGCAGCACCCAGCCTTCAGTCACTCACAGTGAAGACTGATGTCAAACGAGGCAGGCCAGGGGCTAGGTGGAGCTGGGGACCCAGCCGCAGGCCTCAGGCCACGCTGGGCGCATGCGTGGGCAGCGGCCTGTGGCCACCAGCCCAGCACAAGGAGGGTGGGGGCGTGCTGTGCCGCGCCGTCCTCTCTTCCGGAGAAAGAGGACCTGGGTGAGGCAGGATAGGGTGTTGGGCAGGGGCTTTCCGAGCCTGCCTTCCAGGAAGCCTCTCAGTGGGGCTCCCCTGGTCCCCTCAAATGCCAAGCCCAGACACTCTCTCCCCCAGTGGCCCAGGGCTGGGATCTCCATGATTCTCACACAGACCTAGGTCCTACTCCAGTTCCCACAACACAGAGAGGCTGATGAGAAGCCCAGAGAGGTTAATTCACTTAGTCAAGGTCACACAGCCAAGGTGCATAAGAGCAGAGCGTGGGCCCAGGCTTGTCAGGCTCTAGAATCCCTGCTTTCCTCCATGAAGCTGTCATGTCCTCCCACAGATCTTGAGTTCTCTGTCCCCACCATGCTGGCTGTGCCTCCAGCCCCTAAGCATGGGAAAGTTGAGCCCACTGGCTTTGGGTGGGGCCAGCTTATCCACATCTTCTCTGCCCACCATGTTCTATGCCACATGGCTGTCGCAGGCGGGGCTTCCCTGGCCCCTCCCAGGCCTACAGAAATGCAGTGTGTGTGTATGTGGGGGGGGGGGTCTCCACCTGAGGTGGTTTCCATGGAAACAGCACCTCTTGCAGTGTCCAGAGCTCCACTGGGACACCGCCGGCCTCAGGGACCACGTGCCGGGGCTGGCTCAGCTCAGGGCTGACAACGCCTGCCCATGGGATGGCAGTGTCTGTCCCAGAGGCCTGTGTTGGGTCGTCAGGGACTGTCATCACCTTGGCAACGGGAGGGGGAGGGGCAGAGAGACAAAAAAGAGCAGATGGGGGGCGGAGATACCAGTGATACCAGGGCTCAGAGCATCCCTGAGGGGCTGCTGGGTCCTCCCACACAGGCCCTGTCCCCAGGCTGTGGTGGGCAGGTGTGCGGGCCCCTGCTGTCACTCCCCAGAGCAGAGGTGTAGGGAGACTGTGACTGTGACATAGGGTCCCTCCGCTCTGCCTGTCACCCTGGTGATCTCTGGAGACTATAGCAGGACTCACTCTGTCCTCTAAGGGTGAGGACTTCCTCAGAAGGGAACCAGCTGAGGACAGCAGGGCCAGCTGGGGGACCCTGGCACGTTCACCTGGGTGACTTTGTCCCAGGCAGCCAGGAGCATGGCCTAGCGCTGGCTGCGTGATCAAAGCCCAGGGCAAGCAGCAAATGCAGGCTCTGCTTTAAAAAACTGTTAAGGGCCAGGCTTGGTGGGGCACATCTCTAACCTCTGCACTCTGTGAGGCTGAGGTGGAAGGACTGCAAGTTGGAACCCAGCAAGGGCAGCTCAGCGACTTGGTGAGACCCTGTCTCAAAATAAAAAGGGCCTTGGGTGCAACTCAGCTCCTAGGCCCTGATCACACAGCAGCAGCCACATGACAGAGCCCAAGGACAGGACCCAGCTGGGCAAGGCTCTGGGGCCCTGAGCCCAATCCGCTCCCCTCACTATCTGGTGGAGATAACTCAGACCCTCAGCCTGACTTCATCCTGCAGTGAAACTCTTCACAGAGCTGGAGCTGGAGCTGCGACAGGGCATGGGGGTGCCAGGCTGCCACCCCAAGACCAGTGTCCCAGAGTCAGAAGGAGCCAAGGTGCCCCTGGCCACTAAGTTCCTACGTAGGACCTGGGCCTGGACCCTGACCCCTTGAGAATCCCCTCCTGGCCTTCCAGACAGAAAGATCACCTGTCTCTGTGGGAGGTCAGCCACCCCACCCCTGGGGAAACTGAGGCACGAGTCAGGGCATTTCCATGGCTGCTCAGTCCAATGGGAACCCTGGAAGCACTGCAACTGGTGCTTGGAGGGATCCCCGGCTTTCCTGACCACCTCTCTATAGAACGGGGCCCAGGGGTTCCCCTGCCCAGGCTGGGTGAGCCCCTACTATGGTCTCCTGGAGCCCCCGTAGGCCGGGCCCCGCCCACCACCCAGGGCGTGGCAGACCCAGGGCAGTCAGCTACCGGGAGCCACCTGGTCACACCACTAGGGGTGGCCACGGATGGGGACAGAGCCATACAGCCAGCTGCAGTGCCAATGTGGAAGCCAGGCCTCAGGCCCAGGCCCTAGCTCTGTCCCCATTCGGCCAGAAGCAGAGATGAGGACAGTGAGCACCCGTGACTGGCGGGGACCAGTCCGCTGCAACTACTGCTGCTGGGCCCCATGAGAGATGGAGTCGGTTGGCAACAGCAGAGGAAACTGAGGCACAGCCGGCAGAGGGTGCCAAGGGTCTCTGGGCATCAGGGCTCCCTGCCCGTACAGCTTCACCAGCTGTGCTCAACAGCACTGGCGACCCAGCCTCCACTTACAGAAGAGCAGCCCACAGCCTGGAAGAGTCAGGGGTTCAGTCCCCTCTGGGACTTGCAGGGATCTGGGAAAGGACAAAGCCCCACCCCCGAACACCACCCCCAGTGTGATGCAGCCAGGGCACCACAAGGTCCTGGTGTGGCCCCAGGTGACAGCCTGACCCCATGACCCCTGTGCAGGGAAAGGAGTTCCGCTGCCTAACCACTGGCTTCCTGTCTGTCTCACAGCCAAATGAACTTCCTCTTTTTCTCCAAATCCACTGTTTCCCCTTTTGCTTTGGCTACCAGGAAACTCAACACTCAAATCAGAAACAAGAGGATTCTTCCTGGCACAAGTTTTACTCTCTTGTTTTGGTTTTAGTTACCCTGTTGGGAGCCAGCTCCACTTCTCCTGGAAAACAGGCTGGGTGTGGATTATAAGCAAGGAATGAGGATTTAGGTAAGAATGACCACCATGAAAATGTCATCGACATGGACTCAGAAGCCAGGATGCCTGGGTTCCAGTCCTGGCTCTGCGACTTCTGAGCTGTGTGACCTTGGGCAAGTTGCCTTACCTCTCTGTGCTGCAGCTCCCATCATATGCCGAAGGTTTCAGAAGATGCCGTGAGCACACAACAGGCCCCAGAAATGATCTCTGGGACAGTCACAAGTCCCGACAGCCCTCCCTGCCTCCTCCTCTCTGTGTTTGTGTCTTTAGGGTCTAAAAGCCCAACACCGGCTTCCCAGCCCGTTGCTGTGGCAGCCACTTTGTAACCATGAGGCCAGTGACATCCTGCTTAAAAGCCATCGTGGCAGTGAGGATACTCCAAGCCAGGGTCTCTGAGGTTCAAACCAAGCTGCTGTCCCCTGTGCCCTCCAGACTCCACAGAACAGGAGGTGTCTGTCTGTGACAAAGAGTGGCTCTAGTTCCCCGAAGTGACCAATCCAGGAGGGGGTGGAGGCTCACCTTGCCCACGTTGAAGTAGAAGAGTGTCCCGGCCACCACCTGGGCGATGAGGATGAGCAGCAGGAAGGCGAAGTACTGGGCAGGGCGGGCAGAGGTCAGTGGGCGGTGCCCATCCCCCGCCCCGCCCCCACCCCAGCGGGGTCCCGGACTCACCAGTCCCAGCAAGCAGCGGACCTCGTTGATGGCTCCTATGCAGCCCAGGAAGCCCATGACCATGGTGACCGCACCCACGCCGATGAAGACATAGGCGCCCACCTGCAGGGAGCTGTAGGAGGTTTCTGGAGGAAGGAGGGGACAGTGCACTGAGGACAGGGCCCTTGGGGACAAAATTAGCAGGCTTGGCTGGGCACCCAGGTGCACGCCTGTGATCCCAGCACTGGGGATGCTGAGGCAGGAGGATCGTCAGAGGCCAGCCGGGCTACAGAGTGCGGGCCAGGCCCTGTCTGACAAGTGCGACCCATCAGGGAACGGCCTCCTCACCCCCCAGGGGCTTCCTCCCCTGGTGTGCCCCTCCTCGAGAATGGCACCCTCCCACTGATCCAGCCTGGCCTGCAGCCTGCTCTAGTTTCCTCCTCGGCTCACACGGTTCACACCTTACTGCCTCTTCCCGCTCATTTCTGGTCCCGCCACCCAGGTGTGCGGCAAGGTGAAGGTGTGCCCTGCTGCGCTCCCTGCTGGCAGAGTGGTGCCCAGCTCCGTGAGGGCAGCACGGGTCTTATTAACGCACTTTGGGCGGACCCTGGGGCTGACGGCAAGAGGGAGCCCTCGGCACTGGGATGCAGGAGGGGGGGCTGTGAGGACGGGACCTGCCAGGTGGGCTGTGGACAGTACACACAGGATCCCTGGTGTCAGTGACCACTAGGGCTGGGTTGGACAAGGCAGCCCCTGGCCATTCTAGAGCAGGGCAGAGGAGCCCAAGAGCCGGGAAGAGGGCCCTTCCGGTCTCCTGGCGTCTCCTCCAAGAAGTCCTCTGGGATCACTGCTCTGCTCTCCCGGGCTCCCCCAGGTTGTACACTGGGCAGAGCTGGCAGGGCAGGGCAGGAGCAGGTGTCACGTGGGGCCATGCCCCGGGCCAGGTGTACCTGAATCACCTCCCTGTGCTGTACAATGTGCCCGGCCCAGAGGTCTGGCTGCGAGGTCTTGGGGTGGGGGCAGGTGTGTCACACAGGCCTGGAGGGACCCTGGCTCCCAGCGCTAAGCCAACTTGCTGCTGTGGGACTCCTCCCAGCCTGTTTACCCCTTGTGCAGTGTTGGCCAGAGTTTCTGAGCCTGGGCTGGCTGGAAGTGTGAAGTGACCCCAGGCTCAGGTCCCACCCACACGGGTGACTCATCCTGGGGTTTATGTGAAGCGCCCTGAGCTGAGTGTGCAGGGGACCCTGGGATCCTAGCACGCTGGGAGGCTGAGGCAGAAGGGTCTCAATATCAAGCGCACCAACTTAGGCTCATGTTGGAGCTCAGTGTGAAGGAAAGGGGCCACACACACAAAGGGGCTTTCACAGGGAGCAGCAGCCTGGGCAGGGTGCAGCTGGCAGGGCCCTCAGACTCCGCCCTGTGTGCAGTGTGTGCTGCATGTGGGCCAGGCCTGACCAGGGTGGAGGAAGGGCCCCTGGCCTGGGAGAGTGTGGAGGCTGAGGCAGGAGATGCATCCCACAGGAAAGGACTGATAGCCTAGCCATAGGCGGATCACCCCGACTTCACCTCCCCAGGGGCTGGGGTGACAGCTGCAGGCTGCCCTTGGCCCACCTAGCCAGGCTCCATTTTCTTTAGGCCAAGCAGCTGTTGCAGGCTGCAGTTCAAATTGACTGCCTCCTGCAGCTGCTGGAGGGCAGGGGAGCTAAGGCTGCCCTTGGGTGGGGCAGGACAGGGCAGGGCAAGGCAGGGCATTTGTGTATGACCTAGGGAAGCCCTGGAGAGCACAGCAGCAACCCCGGAAGGCTTCCTGGAGGAGACGCCAGGAGACTAGAAGGCCCTTGTCCTCCTCTTGCTCTGCTTCAGCAACGGGAGGCGCCTACGCTGTGGCTCACCCTAACTCAGGCTGTGTCCTGCCCCACCAGTGACTTAACCACTCACTCTGAGCCTCTATTTGGGACAGGGTTTCACTATGTAGCCCAGGCCGACCTCAAACCCACTACTATTCTCCTGCCTCAGCCTCCTGAGTAGTAAGATTCCTGTGTCTTCATGTGTGCTCTGTCCAGCCCCTCAAGGCCATGGGGGATGAAGACAGCTGGCCCAGTGAAATGCTGCGACAAGTGGCTGCTCAGGTGCCCCAGACACGTGGTTTGGGGCCCGGCTTTCTCAGGCCCTGGCCACCGATGCCTGCTGTTCTCACCCGCAGCTTTCCAGCAGGGACGTTACACTGATGCAGGGCTCGGCCTTATTGTCAGGGGCTTTTCTCAGGCTCCCAGGACGAGGGTGCATCCCGGGCACTATCCCCAGGGCAGCAGGAGTGGGGCCCAGCCTTGCCCGCTCTGCCCAGGCCCCCTTGCATCCCAGCCCCGGGGCTTACGCAGCACGGAGATGAAGCTGGTGCGGTCAGCGAGGATCCACACCCCGAAGCCCAGGATCACGGCGCCCAGGATCTGTGGAGGATAGCAGTCAGAGCGGGCATGGGCAGGCAAATCCCATAAGCCAGAAGGCAGGACCCTGTGGGGACCCTGTGCCTTTTCTCTTTTTTCTTTTTGGTACCTTTGAGACGAGTCTCCCTGTGCTGTTCAGGCTAGCTTTGAACTCAGAAATCAGAAAGAAAGCAAGGAAGGAAGGAAGGAAGGAAGGAAGGAAGGAAGGAAGGAAGGAA